TTTGTTTTGTTTTTGACAGGCAGAGTAGACAGTGAGAGAGAGAGAAACAGAGAGAAAGGTCTTCCTTTTCCGTTGGTTCACCCCCTAATGGCCGCTCTGCGGCCGGCGCACCGCGCTGATCCGAAGCCAGGAGCCAGGTGCTTCTCCTAGTCTCCCATGCGGGTGCAGGGCCCAGGGACTAGTGAGCCGTGGCACCGGCCTGTGTGCACCTGTTTTGAAACACAAGGATATAAGGAGTCTCCAGAGAATTCATGGAAACATGTATTATGAAAATTAAAAAAATGATGCATAGATTTCATTTTTGGTGCACTAAAATCAACATCTCTTAATTCTATTTTTCCATGAGCTTGTTAAGGGAGCTTCATATAGACTGGTGATTAGAAGCTTGAGCCCCTGGGGCCGGCGCTGTGGCACAGTAGGTTAACGCCCTGGCCTGAAGTGCTGGCATCCCATATGGGCACTGGTTCGAGTCCCAGCTGCTCCTCTTCCGATCCACCTCTCTGCTATGGCCTGGGAAAGCAGCAGTGGATGTCCCAGGTCCTTGGGCCCCTGCACCCACATGGGAGACCCGGAAGAAGCTCCTGGCTCCTGGCTTCAGATCAGCGCAGGTCTGGCCATTGTGGCCAACTGGGGAGTAACCAGTGGATGGAAGACCTTTCTCTCTCTCTCTGCCTCTCTTCTCTCTGTGTAACTCTGACTTTCAAATAAATAAATAAATCTTTAAAAAAAAAAAAAAGAAAAAGAAGAAGAAGAAGCTTGAGCCCCACTCTCAGACCTGGATTCCGGTCCCAGCAGACCCCTCGTCTTCCCAGCTGTGTGCTCCTTTGTGTCGGCACGTGCAAGAGGGGGCTTTCTTGGCCCTGCCTCACAGGGGTGAATGTGGAGGGCTCACGGTGGCGCAAGGCTGCCAGATGGAAACGTCTCTCGCAAGCTGTCAAGACGGTTGGCCCGGGAGCGCCTCTGTGGCCAGTTCCCTGGGGAGGGAGAAGCGGATCTCTAGCTCCCCTCCCCACCCAGATCCGTCCACTTTAACCACCGGGACGTGGTTTCGGCGGATCCTACTTGGCCCTCATTTGCAGGAAGAACAGGGCTGAGTTCTCTGGCTCCGATGATGTTTTCCCCCTCTTCCTGGTCTTTGATAGGAGCTCGTTCATTAAAATGCGCACACATTTATTCAGCTCCCACCCTGTGCCAGAAACTTTGCTGAGAACTGAAGCCACCGCCAATAAAGACAGGGCACCTCTTACATAGCAGGCATTATTTTAAGCATTTTACATATATGCATTCATCTAATCCTCACGTCTCAGTGAGGGGAGTGTGCTAGGATCACTCACGTCTTACTGACAAGGACACTGAAGTACAGAGAGGTTAAGTAACTTCTTCAAAATCATGCAATTAGAAAATGAGTACAGTCAGGAGAAAAATGAAGAAAGGCTGGGCGTTGTGGTGCAGCGGTTCACCAGCTGCCTGCAACGCCTGAATCCATAACCCAGTTCCTGGTTCCGGTTCCGGTTACTCTGCTTCCAACCCAGCTTCTGGCTAACGCCCACCCTGGGAGGCAGCGGATAAGGGTCCAAGTGCTTGGGCCCCTGCCACCCACGTGGGAGACCCAGAAGAAGCTCCTGGCTCCGGGCTTCAGCCTGGCCCAGACTTGGCTATATAGGTATTTGGGGAATGAACCAAGGAATGGAAGATTTCTCTCTCTCTCTGCCTTTGAAGTAGATGAAAATTTTAAAAATAAAGAGAATAAAGTCAGGTCAGAGTCCTCAGTCCAATTAAAAAGCATCAAGGTAGAAGAATGGATATAGATACAGTACCTATTGATAGAACTGCATTTGAAACTTCTTTCTAACTGCCTAATTTTACACTTTATAACTTCTGGAAGGTCTCATTGACATCATCTATGCATGCATGTGTGTTAATTTCAAATTCGAAGTTAGTATAGGTGCTAAAAAAGTACTTTTTTAAAAAAAGATTTATTTATGTATTTGAAAGTTATACAGAGAGGGGAGAGAGAGAGACAAAGACAGAGAGAGAGAGACAGAGACAGAGACAGAGAGAGACAGAGAGAGAGGTCTTTCATCTGTTGGTTCGCTCCCCAAATGGCCACAACGGCTGGGGCTGGGCCAGGCTGAAGCCAGGAGCCAGGAGCTTCTTCCAGGTCTCCCACGTGGGTAGCAGGGGCTGAAACACTTGGGCCATCTTTCATTGTTCTTAGGATGTTAGCAGGTTCGGAAGTGGAGCAGCTGGGACTCAAACCAGCACCCATATGGGATGCCGCCGGCGCAAGCAGCCCCTAAAAGTGCTTCTAACAGAAAGTCCCCAGCCCAGCACAGTGGAGCACGGAGCACTACAGTGACTACAGTGTCATAAACCAGGGGCTGGGGGCTTTCTCAGAGGAGCTCCCCCAGCAGATGCCTGTGAAAGGAAGTGAGCCTGGGTGCGAACTGTTTTACAGACTGCCAGGAGTAGCCGGCACGTGGCATAGCAGGTCCAGCTCCAGGCTCCTGGCTTCCGCCTGGCCCAGCCCTGGCCAGCCACTGCGGCCATCTGGGGTAGTCAACCAGCAGATGGAAGATTCTCTCTCTCTCTCTCTTTCTCTCCCCCTCCCCCTCTCCCTCTCTTTTTTTGTCTGTCTCTCATTCTCTGAAACTCTTTCAAATAAATAAAAAATTAAATATTTTTTAAAACTTTCTAAAAAATTGCCAGGAGCTCTGTCTGGAGCAGGGCACAGAGGGCAGGGAGGGGAGGGGCTGGGCGGCGGACAGCCCCGGAGCTGGGTGGGAGACAGGACTTCTCGCAGGGCAGCAGGGAGCCGCGTGGCCAGCACCAGTGACTCTGACTTGGGGCTGGAGAGCAGCACCTCGGGAGGCTGCACGAGGGCTGGCATCCTTGGGAAGTGGCCCTTGTGATGACAGGGGACAGGAAGAAGAGATGGTAAGTCAGGACCTGCTGACTTGGGACAAGTGAGAGAGGGAGAGGGAGGGGCCCAGGGTGGGGAGAAGGGGGCGTTACTTCCTCCCACCCCTACCCACACACACCCAGTTATCTTCCTTTTGTCACTCTTTTTCTGCCCCCATGGCTTCCAGAGGGACAGTCCCCTCCAGGAGTCCCACCCCTTCCCCACAGTCATAAGGGGGTGCCTACCCTTGTGCCCTGTAGGCAGTGCCCGGCTGACTCCCTGCCATGCCAGGCCAGCTCACCCTCCGCACACTCTGGCGCGTCTTTCTCCCTTGGGCATTCGCAGTCATCCACAGAGCTCTGGGGGACCCAGGTAAGACCCCAGCCCAGCCCAGAACGCGGACCAGGGTGGGGAGAGCGAACAGGGCGGCAGCTGGAGGCACCCAGGGAGCAGGCGTCCTTTGGAGAGAACTTCGCAGGGCTGGGGGCAGCTGGGGGAAGCAGCTGGGGACAGACCGGATGGGCACTTGGGGCAGTGAGGTCCAGGGGGTTCCTGCCACTGTGGCCCCCTCTGCTCAGCACCCCACCCCGGCCCCCACTACCTCCTGCCCCCCATCCACGAGGTCATTCACTCTCGTCGTGGGGCCACGGCCACGCTGCCCTGCGTCCTGGGCGCCTCGCCTCCCAGCTACAAGGTGCGCTGGAGCAAGGTGGAACCCGGAGAGCTCCGGGAGACTGTGATCCTCATCACCAACGGGCTGCACGCGCGGGGCTACGGGCCCCTGGGAGGCCGCGCCACCATGCGGAGGGGGCACCGGCTGGACGCCTCCCTGGTCATCGCGGGCGTGCGCCTGGAGGACGAGGGCCGCTACCGCTGCGAGCTCATCACCGGCCTCGAGGACGAGAGCGTGGCGCTGACCCTGAGCCTGGAGGGTGAGGCCCTGCCGCGTGCGCGTCTAGCCAGGGTTGGGGCGCCCCGCTGCGGGTGCCCCAGGGTTCCTCCCCGGCACCTCCCGGCCCCCTCCTGCCCTTCCCAGCTCAGTGGGGGCCCTTCCCAGCTCTTGCCGCCACCCCTCCCCAGGTGTGGTGTTTCCCTACCAACCCAGCCGGGGCCGGTACCAGTTCAATTACTATGAGGCTAAGCAGGCGTGCGAGGAGCAGGACGGACGCCTGGCCACCTACGCCCAGCTGTACCAGGGTGAGCGGGCGGGGCTGCCCCAGGGGACCCAACGAGGACACCGGCCGGGGACCCGGCTCCTGCTGTGACGCCTGTCTGTCCCCCGTCTCCCGCCAGCTTGGACAGAGGGTCTGGACTGGTGCAACGCGGGCTGGCTGCTCGAGGGCTCCGTGCGCTACCCCGTGCTCACTGCGCGCGCC